CAAGCCACATGTCCTGCCATGGTGGAACAGAGAACGGAGCAAAACTAGCGTACACCAGGTCCTCTGACAGCTGGAAAGGGCCTCTCTGCAGCAGCCCCTCCCCAAGGGCTGCTTCTTAAGAGCTCTCCATCAGTAGCTATGGCTAAAAGAAAAGCAGAGGAGGAAAAGGCTGGGGAGGGTAGATAGTAACTTGTACTGGTCAACTGCTCAGAGTGTGACCTTCTACCCAGCAGCATGGCTCTTATTAGAAAGAAACTTCCGGGCCCCTCCCAGGCCACCCTGCTCAGACTCAGGGTGACATGGGGGACCTATGCTCCAGCAAGGTTTCCAAAGGGCTCTGATGCCCAGGTACCCATGGAGACCCCAGCCTGGCACTTGGGAGGCCCCAGACTTCAGAACCAGCCTCTCTGTGTACCCGGCTCCTCGGGGCTGCTGTTTGCCCAGGTACAGCCCCAGCTGCAAGGCCCAGTGGGCAGGAGGCAGGTCTGGCTCACCTGGCGACAGGTGTTGCTGGGGCCGGGTTGGGGTGGATTAACCAACTGCTGTTGGAACTGGGAACCAGAGGGGCCCACCCGGGTCTCCCACAGGTGTGGGCCCTGCTGCCCTCATGTGGCTCCAACTAGCGACCCAGAAGAATAGCTCAGCCCCCAAAGTGTGGGTGGAGGGTGGGGCGGCGCTTCCACGCCAACCTCGGCCGTCTGCTGGCCACTTTGATGTGAGGGGCATTATCTGAGCCCCACGCCTCCTCCTTTAATTTTAAAGGGTGGTGCGGTGTGCCTAAGTTCCACTCTTTTTCTTTTTAAAGCAAGGAATTGTTCTAACCTTTGAATAAGAACCACCAATTATCTCCAGGGCCGGAAATCCAATCCAGGCTGATGGGGGACAAGGGCCAGCCCTCCTGCTGTGCAGAGCAGGCAGAGACCACATGAAAGGCCCAGCCCCGCTCCCTGAGACCCCGCTCTGAGGACCCAGCGACAGACTGGCCATTGGTCCTGGACCTCCTCCAGCCGCCTGCGCAGGGATGGCCAGTGGGAGGGATCCAGGAGGACCCAAAGGCCACTGCCCTGACAGCATGGGGCCACCGGGCTGGCCGAAGCCCCGCTCTGGCCATCCATGCCCTTGATCCCACTGCAGAAGACACCCCGGCCCACCGTGCTGCAGTCCCTAGCACTGCACCTCCTGCCACCACCCAGCCTCCCTCCTTCACAGCCACCCCTACCCCATCCTCCAGCTGGCACATCACCCCACTTGACCACCTGTCACTCCCCACTGTGCTCTGCACCTTCCTCCACATGCAAAACAGCAACACAACCTCTTGTCACCTCCCAGGGCCACCACATGGCACTGGTCCCTTCAAGCAAAACTCCCTGGGGAGCTGACCACCTCTGTCCCCTCCTAGTCTCCTTCCTTTTATTTTGCTATCTGGCACAGGTTGTGACATATGTGTGCATTAGAAAGTTGACAAACACAGGACTGTGTGTCCCACTCAGCCCCACATACAGTCCCTGCACTTTGCCATCTCTGTCTCCCTAGAGGTGACCAGCCTGCTGGACAGTCTCTGGTTGCACACAGACAGGGGACGATGGCAAAAGCCAATCCTGTAGATACTGGCAGTTGTCCTGGCATCTTGGGGAGAGGACTTGTTCACAGTATTTTTTTAACGGCTTTGACCCAAGTTGGCTGAATGTAAGGAACAAGAATGAAGAGACACAGAAGCCAACAGCACGGCTCACATGCCAGATTCAATGACAGCCATGACGCTGCCACTGTCAACTCCCAAATGAGGCTGTTCAGTCCTCCTCCAAGAGGGCACGGAGGCGTCCCCAGGCAGGGCATCCGGTGAGTGAGTCTCACTCGGCGCTCAGGGTATTTTCTACAGCACCAGTGAGGCTCGGGGCCCTTTCCCCTCCCTGTCCAATTAGTCCACAGAAAGGATGCAACTACCTTTGCTCCTGTACCATCACATTCGTATTCAACCAGCTCGCCAAATTTCCTAAAAGTACCATTTAGAATTGTAATTGATAGATTCATTTGGGGAAAAGACATTTTTATAGACTCAACTCCTGTCCCCCAAAACAGAAAAACAGGTGGGCAGAATTCTAACAAGTCCACCATGACCCTCCACCTGTGCAATCTCCTCCCAGCGCTTGTAGCAGGTCCTGTGGAAGTGAGGTCACCCGACGCCTGGGTCATGCTGTGGGTGGAGCACAGCTGGTTTCAGGAAGAGGTGACAGTCTTGGTGGGCCTTGACCTTATCAGATGATACTGTAAAAGCCCAAAGGCTCCTTTAATATATTTTTAATTTCTTTTTTTGAGACAGGGGCTCACTACATAGTCCAGGCTGACCTTGAACTCATCATGGAGCCCAGGCTGGCCCTGAGCTCACCGGGGTGCTCCTGCCTCAGGCTCCCATGTGCCAGGATTACACACGTGTGCCACCGTGCCCGGCTAGTCTCCTTGAGGTAAGGGGGATCTGAGGCGCTGTCTATCACTAAGACAACTAGGAACCCACACAGCAAAGCATACAGGGCCTACAAGTGGCCCCAGCTGACTCCCACAGGCAACCACAAGCAGCCACACTCGACCAATGACTCAATGAGCTAACTCCTGCCCAGAGTGTCCAGGAGGGACGCAGCCCCGACACCCTGGCCTGGCCACTCAGACCCTGAGTAGAGAAGCTGCTGAGCCCCTTGGGACGTCTGACCCAAAACTGTGAGTTCTGGAATGGCACTAGGTCAAGCTGGCTAGCATGTGGTGACTTGGTTCAAAGCACAGGTAACTGACACATGCTCTGCTTGTGCCAGTCCGCACTGGTTGATGGTCAGGTTTCGCAGTTTGGGGCTTGGGGGAAGTTTCTCTTCAGTGGTGAGCAGTGAGCCCAGAGTCTCCCACATGCTCGGCCCTACCACTGGGCCACAGCCCAGGCTGAAGCCTCCTGTCAATGACCTTCAACTTCTTTCATTCAAATTTTTTATTTTTTACTATTTAAATAGTATAAAAATGTAGCTTGGGGCAATTTGCAGCTAATATTTAGAAAAACAACTGCTTTTAGTATGACCTTACAGTAAGGTATTTCGTTGAATTCTTACTACTTTTAGTAACTGGCTTTTGTATGTAGAAAGTCACATTACTTGTGAAGAAGGGGTCACACTTCCTTCAGTGCTGTTTCATCTACGGCTGCACCTGCCTGCCTCCACTGAAGGACTGGCAGAGACATCTCCCCTCCAAACAGCCCCCTTTAGGCAGCCAGGCACCCGCAAGGGGCATCTCTGCAGGAAGAGGGCAGGGATTTGAAGCTCATAACTGAGCGAGTAATGCACTAAGGAGGAGAACCAGTCAGAGAAAGCCTCACAGCCACGGAGCAGGGGGAAACCGGAAGTACCCAGAGCTGGCGACCTGGAGGTATTGGCAGACGGGCACGTGTGTTCCCTAGGTCTGTCCTCCTGGGAGCAACAGGGCCCTGCCAGCCATAAGCAGGTCCCAGAGCCACACTGTGGTTCCCAGACACTCATCTTCTCTGAAAGGAACAGAAAGGCCCCTCGTGGACAGAATGGGGCAGGGCGGGCACAAAAGGATCCAACACCAGGCAAAGGGGCTCCTTCCAGCCAGGACCCACTGAGTAAGAAAAGCCCTGCTCCACACCAAGGGGAGCAAGAAAGATAAGAAGGAAGGTGAGAGGAGAGAGGGGACAAGGACTGAGGAGGAGCAAGGGTTTGAGATCTCTACCCCCACTCCGATCCTGATGGCAGAGGCAGAGGGGATGCCTGTGGCCACCTCACTGCCCACCCAAGGCCTGAGCATCCACCCTGGGGAGCCTAAGGCTAAAAACCCCCATCTCAGCAGGAGCTGCTGAGGGACCCAACACCTCCTCAGGAAGTGCAGCTGCCAGAGCACAGGGGTGGAACCAGCCACCTAGCTCCCCCTTCCGGGTCATGGGTGTGAGCGGACATGAGGGCCTAGGCCAGGCCTCCAAGAAGGCTCGGTCACCTGGGAAGCAAGACCCTTCCCACATGCAGGCTCAAGTGCCATCCAGGTGGGAGGTGGCCTCCAAGTGGGTAGAGACCTGGGTGCCTGGCCAGGACCCTGAGGACCACACACTCATCCCTAGCCCAGGGACCACACAGGCTGCAGCAGTTTCTCTTCTCTTTGGTGTATGCAGCATCCAGCACAGGTGCCCACACTGCCACCAGGGGCCCCTCTACAGCCTATTCCCCCATGCACCCTCACACCCTGTCCTGTCCACTGCACCAGCAGCCTCCATCTGTGCCACTGCTGCCCCCAGGTCAGGGCTGCCCAGCCATGGCCACCTGACCCCACAGCAAAGCCCTGCCTGGGTGACAGTGCCACAGACCGAGGCCTCCTCCCACCTAGCACAACCAAGCCTGCGCTCAGCCTTGTAAAACTCAACCGTGTGAAAACGATGGAAGCAGTATGTGCTCTGGGGGCAGCAGGAGCCCCTAGAACATCTGTCAGATCCAGTGCATGGTCGGAAAGGGCCAACAGGACCAGCACCCCCACACACACCCAAGTTCAGTGGCTTGAGGGATGGGAGCCATGCCTCTGACCGGCACTCCCTGCCATATCCTGCACAAGTTGTGCAGATTATATGCTGCCAGATAAAAAGCCACAGAGGCCTCTGGTCACAAAAACCACGAGTACAAAATACAGCAGACAAGGGGTCAGAGCAGGGACAACACAAAGGCAGGGCCAGGATAGAGATGTCATACCCTCAAATGCCAAGGAGGCTCACTCTGAGTTCCAGCCTCGTTCCCAGGGGACTTGGGAGAAAGATAACCACAGAGGAAACCTCTTCAAGTTGGTCTGGGAAGAGCAACTGGCACTTTTGGGGGTCACAGGATCGCCAGGTATTGAGTCAGCAGGACCCTGTCCCTCCACTAGGTGGCGCCCAAACCTCAGCAGCAAGGGGCAGCAGTCCTCATTTGCCCCCAAGCAGGAGTGCAGGCTGGGCCTGGTGTGGATTCCAATCTACTGCTCCCCTAAGTCCTCTGCACTCACCAGCTTCCAGAGAGGTGGTTGGGGAGAGGTCTGGGAGTCCCCTCACAACTCCAGAGGCCCCCCAAAAAAAGGGTCCAGGAAACAGCCAGGACTTCAGACAAGCCCCAGGGCCAGACAGAAGCCACACTATGCCAGGGACCTAACTCCCTCACTGGCATCTGCACCACCCAAGGCAGCTCATTGCATGGCAAGTCTAGTCCTTTTTCAGTCATGCTATCCTCAAATCCCATTTCCAGACCCACTGTGGCAAGACTAGGGAGCTCACTTCCAGCAGTGGGGTGACATTCACACCCTTAATGCCCACAGAGCCCACAGCGGACATCACTCATCAAACCCTGCAGGCATCACGCATCAACCCTGGTAAGCATCACTCATGGATATCCACATTCCCTTCTGTGGAAACCTCCAGAAGCTGCGCACCCAAGCACTGGAGCTAGTACATGAATACCAAAACCACTAGTCAACCTGGATCAAGGTGAATCAAGTGACATTGTGGCCTGTCACAGAGCTCACTTCTTCCCTGTCCCCAATCCAGCCCCCTCTACCACACACCATGGATACCCAAAAAAGGACCACTGCAGGCTTATAAGCTTTTGAGCAAATCAGTAAAAGGTGCTCCTCACAACAGTCAGAAACCCAAGTGCCAGGATACAGCCACAGGGTCAGGTACCCTTGTACCGTGCACAACCTAAACAACCTTACCCAGTGGCTTTCAGAGAAGTAGGACCAGAGTCACACTGAAGGAAGAATAACAATCTCATTGTTTGCAAGACTTACCGCTGAAAATTAGTGGCATTCTGACCCATAAACACACCCCCAATCACACACATAATCCATAAAATAATAAAATATAGTGAACATTCCCTTTGTGTAAAACACCCAGCACCTTCCACTCAGGGCATGGAATCTATGAGTTACCCTGTGCAGGCCCTGTACAGGGCTCCAGTCACTGAAGGCCACCAGCAGCGAAGGCACCATGGGGGCTACAGGCCCCGAGAGGACAGTCACTGCCTCCTTTTCAGGAAACTGACCGTCTCATCTCCCTGAAGCAGCTTGGAGAAGAGAGCAGCACAGCACAGTGCCACCAAAAGCGCCACATCATCCACACCGCAGGCAAGCCTGGGCTGTCCTTGTCCCACCTCCGCCTGTTCCCTGAGATGTGGCCTGTCAGAGGCACAGTCCTCCTGCCTGGCCACAGCCAGCTGCCTCTTCCACGACACGTGGTTCCCAGGGCACGAAGGCCGCCCGGATATCACCTGCACAGCCACAGGTGGGGATGACGACGCAGCTTCTCCATCAGCTCCTCGTCCCCAGGCTCCTCCAGGATGTCCCTGCACAGGAAGAAGAAGGGCGCTCAAGAGGAGTCAGCCTAGCCCTCTCGGGAGGAGCGACCAGAGCCACAGGGAGGCTTGCCAGGGCCAGGACCAGGGTCCCTGAAATCACCAGGGACACATGCCAAAATGAATGTGGCGAGGACATGGGGACACTGCTAAAGCTACAGGACAGATGCAGCCACTATAAATGGTTATACATATTCAGAGCCTGGAGGGGAGAAAGGAGGCAATTCAAAACTATAGCACTGGCCTAACAGGCCACAGTCCTACGCTCCAGCCCCAGGACCAGAAAATAAATAGATAAATCCATAAAACCCTGCAGTCTGGACAGTGGGTCTCACACTGGAGGGCAGGGCCTCAAAAAGGCAGTCACAGCACACAGCCAACAATGAGAAGAGAAAGGAGACCCACAGCAGGTAGCATTGGGGGACCAGTCATGTTTCTGACCTAATAGAGGACAGCTTCCACAATCCAAAGAAAAAAGACGGGGCAGCTCCCTGAGGCCACTTGATTCTGCATGACAGGACGCAGGGCTGAGGGATGGTCCCGTCTATGCTGGACCCAAGCCTGCAACCCCAGTGGCAAAGGCAGGGGCAGTGCCAGCCACATCCACACCTTCACCTTGGCCTCAACCCTGGCTCTAGGCTTCTCTCCTGCTTGCCTGCTGAAGGCCTGTGGCTGCCACCTCCCCCTCTAGCCCAAGAGGCCCTGGAAGTGCCTTCTCATCATGTACCTGAACATGAGTTCCTCCGACATCTGGTAGGTGGCCTCTGAGGTCCCAGCAGGGGGCTGTTCATGACTTCGGGGGTCCCACCTGTGGAGGAAGTTCTGGCAAACAGAAAGCAGGAAGGGCAATTAAAGGGTGTCCCGTGGGGAAACAGCCTCACCTCTCCTCCGGGCCTCCAGCACGGGCAGGTCAGCATCACTATGGGAGCCAAGTGGCTCCCCCTGGAGGTCTAGATGGAGGGCCCAGTACAGCGTGTGCAGCCCCGCCTCCCTCCAGCCTTGGCAACACATCTGGGCCCCCAAGGGAAGCAGGGAAGCAGCACTAAGCCCCAGGGCAGGGAGTTCCCCCAAGGCACCCAGAAGTCAAGGCTGGAGTCACACAGGGGCCCCATTTGGGCCTAGGCTGGGACTGCTGATACCTCCAGGAGTAGAGCCAGAAAGAGGTTGACCCAGATGACGGATGACACCAGCCACCACAGCACAAAGTAGATCTTTGACCACCTGTGGAGGACAGGGAGGCGCCCACACCACCGTGAGCAGAGCAAGACCCTCCCTGAAACCCATCAGCGGTATTGGGGCAGCGGGCAGGGAGGCCCCAGTTGCTCGGAAGCTCTGCTGTCGGGGCGAGGGTGACTCACGGGCCCACGTAGCGTTCGTAGGCGTCCAGGATCACCTGCCAGTTGTTCACCACCATCACATTCCACAGGGTGACCAGGGCGGCCTGTGGGGGCAGCAGACCATGGGTCTGGGTAGGTCCAGGAGGCGTGGGGAATGGGAGAAGATCTGGGGACAAACACTGGCCTCACCGCAAAATCATCGAAGTTGTTGGCCCAGTACTCCAGCTGCTCAAAGCTCCCACAGGACGCAGAGCCATTGGCAGGGGCCAGGCTGGGGGACACAGCATGGCTGGGTCGGTGTCTGCCCAACACTGCCCAGCCCCCAGCCCCTCCCCATGGACCTCTTTATGGCCCCTGGGGCTCCAGGCTCTCATGCTGCTCTGCACCCCCAAGCCCCCCTGCAGCTTGGACCCAAGGCTGGGGTGGGGATGGGGACAGGGCATCTAGGAGAGTTCCAGAGGTGGGGCTAAGGGGACCCAGAAGTACCCCTCCTCCTGCGCAGTTGGGCCCCTAGTGTCCCCCAGGAGGCTCCTTTGCACTGAGGCCCCACCCCACCTGCTGTTTCCTAAAGGAGCCACGATGGTGCCTCGGAACATGCTGATCCCAATGATGGCGAACACGTAGTACACCACCTACAAGGCGGCCGAGGTGTCAGCGCGCTGCAGCCCCAGGCCAGGCCGCCTGTCTGAGGCAGGCAGAAACAGGGCGGGGCAGGGTTCCGGGCCTGCTGCGGCACCATTACACATGGGGACGCTTTTGGGCTCCGGGCAGGTGTGACTCCAAAGTGACCCAGGGAGTGGGATCACAGGCTTTCCTCCTGCCCAGCATGGCCCCAAGGTAGCAGGGGCATCCTTGGGAGGGCAGGGCACACTGTGGCTTTTGCTCGTCAAATGTGACCAAGTCCCTCAGATCCTCTAAGAAAGAAGCAGCCTAAGGCCCCTTCCTGGGCACCAGGAGGCAAGCTTCTCAGTGCATTCTAGGACCCAGAGGTAGGTAGGGGGGACTAGAAAATTACCAGCAGATTTCTGGCATAGGGAAGGGAGGGGGGACTACTAGCCACCGCAGCCTGGGGGCCTCCCAAAAGGCTTCTTGTCCCCAGAACCTCTGCGCCTCACCTACTGCTCCCCCTCACACCCAAGGACCCCTCTCCAGGGTAAGCCAGCCTGTGAGGCCTCCCTTGGAGCACCCGAGCCCACCCTCGTGGTCCCCTGACAGCAACAATCCTGGGACTCACCACCAGGATTCCACCAAAGGCCCGCAAGTTCTGGATCAGGCCCAGTACGGTACTGACCACCATGGCCATAGGCTGCAGGCAGGAAGAAAGCCCAATGTCATTCATCCAGCCCCACTGGGGACATCAGTGTCACTGCCCTGACCTTAACTGGGAAGACACGAAGGACAGGTGAGTGAGCACCAAACCACACACACACACACACACACCCCCGACACACCCCACATCCTCCCATACACACCCTCACCCCAACACCACAGCTGCCACGCAGGCTCACACCACTGCATACTCCGCACTCCCAAACCACCCCTGTGGGCACTGAGCTCCAAGGCAGACGCCAGAGCCTAGGGCCTCAGATGGCCTCTGCCAGCCAACCCGCTGTGGCCAGGTGAGCCCCTCCACAGAATGCTGGCTCCAGACAGACCAGGCCTGAAGGTGGCAGGGGAACCCCAGGGATGGACTCTGAGGAAGAGGCCTCAGACAGCTAGCCAGGAACCTGCGCCTACAGGCTGCTCCCCACACACACAGCCCCCAAGAAAGGCCCTGCCCACCCACTCAGCGTCGCAAGTAACAAGGCAATGCCGGCAGGTACAGCACCTAAGTGCGCACATGCCATGTGCAGACATGCAGATGCTGTCAACTGCATATGAGCTTACGCATACACATCGTGTGTGTGTGTGTGTGTGTCTGTGTGTGTCTGTGTACACGACAGTGTGATGACACACCTGTGCACTCACACGTGCCCGAGTGTGGAGGTGCCTGTGGGCGCAGTCACCAGCTGGTGTAATCGTCCATACATGTGTGCCCTATGACTATATGTGGCTGTGTGCGGATCTATGTGACTGTATGTGTGTGCAAAGGCCCCAGCACAACACCCCTAACCCTGGCCTCGTCTGCATGGACACTGCCACGGGGCTAAAGGCACCACAGTGGGACACGTGCACGCAGGAGGACCTGGGCCAGCAGGAGCAGCTCCAGCATCCTCGGGTTCTGTTTCTCCTGAGTTGTTCAGAAATGGGATGCAAGCAGACTGTCCCTGTGCCAGGGGCTGGGCCTGGACACACTGACCCTCTTGCTTCCTCTCCACACCCCTCCCAGTGTATGCTGTTCCTGATGGGGACTGAGAAAACTGAGACTCCAAGATGCCATCAACAAGCCCCAGTCCTTTTTCAGGGCCTGAGAATGAGCCGCTGGCCGGCGTCCTGCCCTCACCGAGGCCGTCACAGCAGCCTCCAGCAGCACAAACGCCCTCCCGTGGCAGCCAAGAGTCCACGCCTACCACCTCCACTGGTCTCCTCACACAGGTGCAGGGCTGGACTTGCCTCCTAACCACCCGCCCAGCACCTCAGGGATGCAGAAGGCTGAGGTGTACCCGAGGGGCCCAAGGTGACCTGCCTAGAGCATAGGCAGGGCAGGGCGGGCCAGATACCCACATACCTTCATGTTGGGGACGATGCGCAAGAACCGGAACACAATGAGCATGTTCACCAGCCGCGTCATGTCCCATAGGGACAGCAGCCCCAGCGTCTCTGGCTTCCTGTGCAGATACACAAAAGGCACATGTGAGCACAGCAAACGTGCAGCTGACAGAGGGGACACAGGGCACCGCAGGAGGTCAGACCACTGACACACCAGGCAGGTTGCACTGTCCACTCCAGCAGCCCTGGTCACTGCCCCACACCCCAGCACAGCCTCACAGGGCTGCAGAGCCAGAGGACCCCCCTTTTACAAAGGAGGTTACGTAAGTCTCAGATACAAAATTGGGGTCCCGGCACACTGAGGTCCCCAACCACGTGTCCCTTCAGGGTGCCAGGTGAGGGAGTACACCGCCACTGGGGAGGGCACCTGGGGAAGGAGGGAGGGCCCCAGGGACAGGGCGCTGCAGAGCTGGGAGCAGCCTCAGCTCCCATACCACCCTCCGCCAAGCACAACTGGCCCACGGCACCAGCGCCACTCACAGTGCACTGGGACTGCCCGAGGGGCCAGAGCCCTCCCCTGGAGGCCCTGGGAACAAGGTTTGTGTGGCTCCCTGAGTTCTTGTCACATACCAGCGTGGGTGTGGGAATCCATACACAGCCAGAGTAGAGATTTCCAAAACCTTTAATGGCAAAGGAAAAGGAGGCATCGTACAGCAAATGCTAACTCAGAAAACTTCCAGGCAACGTCAACACTCACACGTCAACACTCATGTCTGACATGTCCTCCCAAGAGGGTGCTCTGGGGGAAAAAAAAAATGAGAGTCCACTCTTCGTCCCCATGGTCGGCTGCCACATCAGGACTGCCATTAACTGAAAGTTGCCCTGGCCTCAGGAGCTGGGACTCAGAGAAGCTCCTAAGTAAGGATGGCCAGAGAGGCCTCTCAACTCTAGGAGGCCTCCTAGCTCTAACAATCCGGATACGGATAAATAAACGTCACTCCAGAGTCATTGCTGTGACATTCCACACCAAGTTGCTCCCTCACTCCCAGCACCTAGGAAAACAGGTGCTGAGGCACCCAGCCTTCCTTCTACCCACACCAAGGTCACGTAGACTTGGTGGCTGTGGCCCCAGGGTTACCACAAAGCTGGGTGGGACCACAGTTGTCAGGCCCTTCTCCCCGGAGGCAGGAGCCCCAAGGAAAGGGCTTTGGGTCTCAGGGATGCAGGGGGCCCCCCCAAGGACAGCTCCCACTTTACCAGCAGGATGGAGGTGAGAAGGCCGTCGCATACATTGCTGGGGTAGGACAGGTAGCCCCACAGGCCCAGAGCGAAGACCTTGAGCAGCAGCTCCAGCACGTAGTACAGGATGTAGATGCAGTCCAGGATCTGGGGGAGGAGGTGACACGACACAGCTGCCCCTAGGCCACTCGTCCCTGCCCCTCTCCACTGCAGAGCAGCCCCCACACCCCATTTTCTACTCTATCCACTCTCCTCAGTGTCCACCACAGCCCAACATCTTCTTTATGAGATGTGATTAAAAATACAGTGAATGTGACTACAAAGTGCTAGCCACTAGAAAGTAGGCTCCTAAAATCATGGCAGTGTGTCCTCACTCGCCGTTCACCAGATCTGACACAGGTCACTTCTGGTTTTTCCCAAGCCAAAAAGACCATGAAACACAAAATCACTGAATTGATTCAGGACACGGGGGCAGCCACACAGCACAACTAAAGACACTCATGAAAGAAGACGTCCACCTGCCACTTCAGAAAGTGGCAAGAACGGTGGGAGAGCGCTCCAAGTGTGGGGGGGGGGGACCTTGAAGGAGGACTGCGAGGCGTCTTTTGCTATAATAAATGTTTTTTTTTTCTTTTCAAAGTTTTATTGATAAGCATATAGCAATGAGACAGTTTCAAATCAAATCGAAAGTACAGTTTTAACATATAATAAATGTTTTAACTCAAATACTCATCATATTTTTTAATCACGCCTCTTATTTCATACACATGACACGTCATTCTTAAATGTGACAGATCAAACCGTTTCTCAAATAAGGAAAATCTCATAGCTTTAATCAACTTATCTTTCACAATGTAATTCAGCAAACTTCAAAAAACATCCTTTGTCAAAGCCCTGGCAGAAAATAACGGGTAGTGCTATGGTTTAGCTTAACATCTGCATGGAATAACTAAATTCCTAAGTAATCTAACAAGATCTTTTCATACTAAATAAGAAATTCCCAAGTTCTTTTTGAAAGGCTGGGAAACAACCAAGAAGACAAAACACAAATCCTGGAGCCAGAAAGCCAGGGAAACCCTGAGGTCATAGCTGCTGTCCCATACCTGCAAAGCCTGGGCCCCTGCCCAGTGCTGAGCCCACCCACCTGGCCCAGCCCCCACTGAGCCAGGCAGCTCCATGACAAGGGCCAGTGGCTCTCTACTCTCCCTGCGACTCCTGAACTCACCCCCAGGACAAAGTCATCTCGGTTCCCAGGCAGCACGTCGGCGTCCAGTACCAGGAACACCTGCAGGGCCACAAGGGAGGGCAGCTCACTGAGCCACACAGCACAGCCACATGTGCTGCAGGGTGCACCGTCACTAGGTCAGACAACAGGAGGAAGGGGACGTCCCACACCCACATGGGGCCGGGCTGCACTCACGCAGATGGACACGAGGTTGCTCAGGGCGATGACATTCCCCAGGTAGTCGAAGTACTGGTGGCCGAAGAAGACCTGGGCGGTCCGGAGAAACGGAGACTGGTACTGGGGCCTTGGCGGGTGCTGGAAAGAACCCATGTGCTCAGAACCATCTTAGAGCTGGTAGCTCTGCCCTCATTCTGGGATTCAACATTCTCCTATCTCACCACCTGTCCTAGTCTCCAGCCTAAGAGTAAATAGTTTTATAGACAAGAGGGTTATCACAGTGGTCTTTACAATCTGAGGAGCAGCAGTAAAGACCTAAATAAACATCCCAATTCGTCTGCCACCCTGAATGATGCCATGCTAGAGTATGCCAGGCTGGCACACAAACAGTTATGAACACACCAGGAACACACCAGCTCACACTGAACAGGCTGGTGTGGAAAGGAAAGAGTAACAGGGCCAGACAGGAGTGGGACACGTAAGACACAGCTTACTCCGCTTCCTTGCCCTGTCCTGGTTCAAGACCTTGCACACCCTGCAGGGGACACCTGGGCTGCTTCCAGCATCCCATCCACCCAGAAACCACACAGGAAAATGTGGACAGCTGGGGACTCTGAACAGTGCTAGGCTGGGGACTGCAGGCACTGCCGAGGAACAGAGGTGAAGGACCCCACAGAGTGACGCAGAAGAGTCTGTCACGGAGACACAGATGCCAGGTCCAGGATGGGTAAATGTCTACAGGTCAGCAAAGTCTCCCCATTTGCCAGGATCCAAGTGGAGCTCTGCCCCCACTGCCCTGCCATGCCCTCAGAGACCTGGGTAATCAGTGACAGAGACCATGGAAATCTGCTGTGAGCCCTGGTGGCCCGGGTTGGGCAGCTGGCACATGCCAAAGCCCCCTACCTCTTTGATCACACTTTTGTCAAGCTCGTCAAAGAGCTTCTGGAACTCATCGATGGACAGTAGGACATCATTGTAGGATCGCACCTTCTGTAGAGGGAAGCCCTGGTCAGCAAACGGTGTGACGCCAACAGCCGAGCTACTGACCTCACCCGCTGTGCGCACCAGGCTCACAGACCCACACCTGTCATCACTCCCAGGGGCCCAGGGGCCCCAGGGGACAGGCAAACATGGGAAAGCAGCTACCTCCATGAGGGCCTGCTTGTGGGAATGGCTCATCTGCACTTTCTGAAGCACCTGCAGGAAGTTCTGAGGCTTCACCCCAATTCTGTGGGAACGAAAACCCCTTTTCAGTGAATACAGACAGCCAGGCTACCTGGTACCCTGCCAGGCAACACAGGCCCCAGCTCCCAGGCTGTGCTTGGCTCAAATTCACCCTGATGCCTGGCAAGGACCTCAACTAGCAAGCATCTACTGCAGTGGTACTGCAAGTGTTTTACAGTAACCAACTAAGGTCCCCAAGAAGTTACCCTGTCCCACTTTAAGGAGGAACAGGCAGACTCCTCCTCCACCCTATAGTTGGGGCCAGAATCCTCCCAAGGACACACCATTGAGCTCTGTCACCACCTATACCAGGGCAGGGTAAACACCTAACCCAAAGGGCCAGGGAAACAGCTCAGTGGCATAAGTGCCTACCTGGCAAGTGCAAGGTCCTGAGTTCAATGCCCAGTACCAAAAAAAAAAAAAAAAAAAAAAAAAATCTCAACAGAAAGACCAAACTTAAATGGTTCATTATATTGACAAAATAAATTACACCTGACTCGAGAGGAGTGGACTTGGGGGCAGTAGTGACAGCTCCTAGGACCAGGCGGGTTTCAGATGCAGGAGGAGTAGCAGGTCTGGCAGCCGCCAAGCAGGGCTGTTTGGGAATCTGCCCCAGGGAGACAGCAGCCTCCTGTTCCCAAGGAAAAGGCCCCAGCCAGCACTCACGCCTCAGGAGTGGCTCCCGCCTGCCCTGGCATGGAGGAAAGGACTTCATAGGCAGCACGGGTCCCCAGGCGTCGCCGGAGCAGGGAGGTCTGCAGAGATTTCTGCAAGGAAGACGTTCTGAGTGCTGGGTCCACCTGCGCCCACCACACATCCACCCTGAACCACACCCCCAGGAGACAGGTGGGTAACTAAGGACTCCGGCAGCCCACTCACTGCCCTGGAGTGGCCCCTCGCCACCTGACACAGAGGACAGCTGCACAAGCCCCCAAGGATCCTCAAAGAGGGGAAGGCCCACAACAGCCTGGGCTGATTGGAGCAGACAGTAGCACCTACACAATTCACAAAAGCCTCTTCTCAGCATGTGTGGGGTCTTACTTCCCACAAGAGGGTCCAGGTCAGCATCCTACAAAGCTGCAATTCTAGGGGGTTTCTCCACGGGTGTGACAGAGCAGGGGAGGGACAATACATGGCCATGTCGCTGGCTCCTGCACCCCAAAATGATTCGGTATATCTCGGGAGGCAGAGGTCAGGTCAGCACAGCTGAGGGCCACCCTCTGTCACTCAGGCCACACCCACACAGTGGGGCAGGTGGCTCACCATCAGGTAGCCACGGAATTGGTTGTAGATGATGGCAGTGAGCAGGTTCATGAGAAACAGGCTTCCTGCAGGAGGAGAGGCAGCAATCAGAGGCAGGCAGGGCAGAGGCAAAGCAGCAGCAGCTCCTGCTGCCACAGAGCACTAGGACAGAGTGGGCCCAAGCAAGGCACCAGGAGGCCTGGATGGTCAACCATGGTCACAGAGTGCCTGCCACTCATCCACTGAGCCAGAGACACATCACCACCCCAGGCCTCCACATCATCACTCAATGGGACCCCACAGGGCCTCCTAGGCATGGGAGAGGACAGACTGAGTCACTGGTGGTCACAGACCACAGGTCACATGCCACTGGGCAGAGGCACGCCAAAAAGAAGTTATAGGGCTCGGGCCACTGGACCTGTTACACCAGGATCACTCGTGGCCTGGCAGCCCACAGACTGGCTATACTCACCTATCAGGGTGAAGACTATGAAGAAGATGGCGTAGGCCCGGTTCTTGGAATATGCAGGAATCATCACTGAGGCAAAGAAGAAACCCCTGAAACCGTGATCCCATCCTCAGTGCCGGGTCACCTTCCTGCATCCAACTTAGTGCCACCAACTCAGGAAGGCCCTGGGCTAGGAGAGCCAAGGACTTCCTGTCCAGAACACATCCTCACACCTGCTGTTTCTCCCAGGGGATGGGGAGCTCACTGCCCACTGAGGACACTCCCAGGCTATGCTCAGAGAAGGTCGCTATGGTTCTGAGCATCCCTGAGCCCAAACAGTCATAGTGACCAAGCCATGGTCAAGCCCAGGCAGACCGCAGCCTCCCCAACTGGCCATTCCAGCCACAACACACACAGCAGCAGCTAGGGGGCCTGTCAGCACCCATTGCAGCCAGCCAAGCCCCGGGGTCTCTCACACTCGATGCTCCAGAGCAGCACGCACCTCTCAACTTGCCCTGGGCAGCAATCGGGAAAGTGGCTGGGCCCCAAAGAGACCACCCAAGGGGCCACTGACCTCCGCCACTTGTCACCACATAAAGAACACCACTCATTTTCAGCTTCTCCGTGGAGTAAGGAGACAAGAGGCAAGGAATAGAGAAAGCAGTGAGAAGGCAAAGGAGAGGGAAAGGAAAAAAAAGGGGGGGGGGGAATGGAAAACAAGGAAAAGAAGAGAAGGCAAAGGAGGAAGGGGAGGAAACGGGGAGCCCAGTGTCATCCTCCCCGGCGATATAAAGGAAAGGCCTTAACTCCCACCCGACTCCAATGCTCAGCATCCCCAGTCGACCCCCACAGGCCTGCTGGCTGCCTCCAGGTCCAACCCTTGCTCCTTGCATACCATCAGGGTTGTTGGCCGTGGTCAGCAGCACCAAGAGGGAGGTCAGAGCCTCTGGCAGGCTCCGGAAGTAGGCCAGTCTCTCCCTGTTCGGCTCTGCATCCTGTGAAGAACAGGTGAGGCTCCAGCGGCCATCACGACCTCAGCCTAGGGCTTAGGACAGCGACACTCCAGGCCCCAGGGACCAGCCACTGTGGCCTGCATCTCCAAGCAGGTTCTGAGCTCATGGCCAGACAAGATAGCACTCGGGGCCTCCAGGCCCAGGAGCAAGCATCTGAGGAGACAGAGCATCCCCACAGCTGCCAACCATAGCAACAGGCCTGCCCGCCACACAGGGGCCTGGCCAGCATGCCGGCTGCCTACCTGTGCCACACTGTATGCATAGTGAGGCCATAAGCAAGAAGCAAGAGGCAAGAGGGGCAGAGAGGCCCAGGCTGGCATATGGCCTCATACAGCCAGGTAGAAAGGGACCGGTGATCTGAACCCCCAGAGCGGCCTTGCTGAGCCTCCGCAAATCAACCTCTGAGCAGCTGATACAGGGCTTGATGGCTGAGGAAAGGGATTCCAGACAGGTCAGCCACCATTATACCCTCCTCCTGACTGCAACCAAAGGCTGGGAATCATTCTCACTGAGACCACGGTGGGCAACATCTCCCCACACAGTTACACAACACTCACTCGCTCAGCCTAGTAACTCTTCACGGGGTAAACACCCAACCTGGAGGAGGCACCAACCTACTGGCACCCGGGGACACTCGGTACTCAGGGATGGTGTCCACTGCCCCAGTTCTAAAGCTGTGGCCACCTCCAGTTCCCCACACTGACTATCAACCTGACCCAGCCCTGGGAAACAGCAGAGACTATAGCCATCACAGGACAGCCCCAGGGTGACACTCAGGGTGCACCTTAGCAGCCTAGCATGTGCCACAAACACACACAAACATCGAGTTGCCCACACAGACACACGCTCAGACCCAGGCATAAAGACAGACACAGGCACATCCAGGGCCCCGTGCTCTTTCCCCCAAAGGCTAAGGCTCAGTCTCAGACCTGCCTTCCCCTCCTGGGTGCCAGCCACAGCCTGACCCCAAAGTTGTCTCACACATGAAAAACAGCTTTGGCCAAGGTCACATCCCAGCACAAAGCAGCAAACAAGCAGATGGCCCAGGCCTAGGAGGACTGGCCAGGACATGAGAACAGACACAAAGCAGCAAGGGCCAGGGACAGCCCAAGGCAGGGGGGCACCTCCACACTGGAATATGTCAGTGGGGGCAAAAGGCCTGGCTGGGCAGGAGACCCGGGCCAGGGCTGGAGATGAGGACACAGGGGTACCCCCATAGGGTAGTGTAGGTCTGAGAGGCCCAGGTGAGGAAAGACATGGAGAAAAGAGGTGTAGATGCCACGGAAGGTAGCGCCACAGCAGAGCACAAAGGCGCTGCCCAGGAGGGAAGGAGGCAGCCCAGGAGGAGGGCAGTAGCCCCAGGCCCAGGACACAGGAGACAGCCCCTGGAAGGGGGCAGTGGGAACACAATGGCCATGCAGGGGGCATGGTGGCCTACAGGTCACAGGGGCCGCCTTACTCTCTGCCAACCCAGTGACACTCCACCCAGACAGCAGGGCAACCTCTGTGGCCACGATCCCACCTCACCTTCTCGCCCACAGTGAACAGCAGCATCCCGAGCATCGTGAAAAGGCACAAGTGAATGGCCAGCAGCAGCCCGACGCTGGGGAGGGACAGACACTCAGCCTGGCGAAGTGCAGGCCCCACAGGGCCAAACCCGCCTTTCACCAGAGACCCTGCTGAACAAGCATTCAGCCCAGGCCCTGAGGACAGGCCTGCTCCCACCTCACAGAGTCCTCTTTTTTGCTGAGACAAAGGCAACCTCAGAGGAGGGACGGGGACCAGGACACTGGAAGAGAGAGGCCACTTCCTTCCTTCTGGGCTAAAGACAGTAAGCCAGGTGGGCCCCCAGGGTACAGATTCAAGGCATTTCTACTGGCAGGAGCCCACAGGGGACAGGGAGAGAACAGACCCAAGACCCCAAATTTCTGGTAGTGAAGGAAGCTTGAAGGCATCCAGGCAGGTATGATGTCCAGCATAGCTTAGTTTTATAAGGTCTAAGAGGCAGCAGACAACTAGGACACAGCAAGCCAGGCAAGGGCCATGCCATGCGGGAACACAGGGACAGACAAGGACCCATAAGAGGGGTGTCCGCAGAACTCAGTAACAGAGGGGAGGAGAGGCAGGGCTGCAGTGGGGCATCCTAAGGGGCCCCAAAACTCCTACATGCTGACCTCTGCAGGGTGCTGGGTTGGGACTATTCATGGGCCTCACAGGCTGCATCTGGACAAGAGCATCTAGGTCGTCCTTATCCGGGCCCCTTGGGCTGAGCTCTAGCTCAGGTGGGTCTGAGACCTACCTGGCCATGTCTGGCAGAGACCATCGGATGCACTTTAAGGTCTTCTTCATCATGGAGGAGTTCTGCAGCAGGAAGAAGGGGCGCAGGAGGCGGCGCAGGCGCAGTGGCTACAACAGATGCAAAGTAGTCAGGCTCAAAACTGTGCCTGCAGACCACACTGCTCCATACCTGCCAGCCAGCGCACAGGGCAAGTGGGCCTGGGATCCTAGGGACAGGAGCAGGCTCTGCTGGTCACGGCCCACACTGGCCACTTCAGCTGGCAGGTCATGGATGGCCTTTCCTTCTCGCTCTCATGGCCCTGGCTCCATCCCACCACATGTAAAATAATACAGTCTGGCGCTCCTGGTGTGCCAGGGTCTCTCCTTCATTCCAGAGGTCCCTGGGACAAAGGTTCCGCCTGCCTCCTTCCTGCCAGCAGTTCATGCAGCAGGCACGTGGCCCCTCCCTGGGCTGCACTTGTCATCCTCAGAAGACCCAGCACATGGCCTGGGAATAAGACAGGTAAAGGAAGTGGTGATGACCACACAACTAACTGCTCAGGGCTCTGGCCCCCTAGGAGGAGGCAGCATCCCGGCTTCCCCGGAGTCCTCACACGCTGCCCGTTGGGGGGGTAGGTCTGCTCCCAGCGTTCAGCAGACCAGGGCAAGCAGAGGCTGAAGGCCAGGCCAGCCTGGCTACCCATCCACAGACCGGCACCCACTCTGTAATCGGAATATGAGCACCACACGTAGAGGGCCAGGAAGACACTATAGCATGTCCAGGTGACTCGTCCCTCAAAACTGGCTGCTGGATCGGGTAAGCAATGGCAAGCCCCAGGCCCCCAGAGCTTGGAAAAAAGCCACACCCAAACAGCTAGACTAAAAGAAATCGCAAAAAAAAAAAAAAAAAAAACTTAACCGGGCTGGGGAGATGGCTCAGTGGAATAAGCGCTTCCCTGGCAAGCCCAAGTACCTGAGTTCAATCCCCGGTTCTGCCAAAAAAAAAGAAAAGCCAAGGTCTGTCTGTGGCTCCCAGGCCTGAAGGCAACGGTGCTCCACCAGGCAGTACAGGCGCGCAGGAAGGTCCAAGTACATAGAAGTGCCTGGTCCTCCTCATGAGCCACCCGGTGTCAACGGGAGCTTTGCCCCTGAGCAGCCGGCCACACAGGCTGCAGATGTGCTGAGGACGGCCAACCCAGCCAGCAATGGATCTGCGGTGGCATCAGGGCCTTACTCCTGGTTCTCCAGATCCAGGGCTAAGAGGAGAGCTCTGTGCAGGATGGACCAACAGCCCCCATGGACTGAGAAAGAAAACACCTCCCGGGGGTGGACAGGGCCATGGCAAGGGCAGAACTGTAACACTGGGGACAGGAGGCCCAGAAGGACACAACTGGACAGGTCCCTCCAAAAGGGCTCGGGGCAACCAGAGCTCCTGCCTCCTGGAATGCTCACCAGGGCCATCAGCGGCAAGACAGCATGTTCTCCGGGCAGCTAAGCCTCCTCCCTCTGCCACATGGTGTCGCCAGTACAAGACAGAGCAGCTGCCTAAGGCCAGCACATCCACCCTGCCTGACGCAGAGCCCAGCACCAGACCTCACATGACCCCTGGACACCAGCATGCAACCAAGGACCTGGGGAATGACTCTGTGGAGGTCACCCACCACCTAGTGGGGCACCCACCTCCTAGTGCGGCACCCACTGCTGAGGTCATTCAGGATGTTCTGGCTTGTGTCTAGCTGTCCCCCAAAGCCTCCTATGATCATAGGTGGGAACTTTTCAGAGGTGTTTGGATCTAGAGTGTGTAACGCTGGGACCGATTCACAGTGCAATGCTAGGCTCAAAGGCACTGGGACTCAGGGTGTAGCAGTCTAGATAAAATAAGTAGTCTAGATCAAATAAAAGGTGCAGAAAGACACTGTGAAGGTCCCTTGCTGCTTTGCTCCCTCTGCCTGCCATGAACTGGTTCTCCTCTGGAAGCCCCTCTGCCAAGCCACTCTGCCATGGGCCCAGCTCATTAAGGACTGAGCCTCTGCAAACTGTGAATTAAATAAACCTTCCCTCACCTTAACTTTGGGTGTTGGGGATTTCTGTCTCAGCAACAAGAAAAGTAACTAAGACACAGGAGAACCAGTCTGCCAGGAAGGTCCAGAGCCTTAGCAGATGCCAGACACCAGCCTGGGGCTTCCAGGGCACAGCACAGGCTCTGAGGGACTGGTTCTCCCCCAGTAAGATTCAGAGGTCCCAAGAAACGGGGTGACCACATTTCCACTCCCCATCCCACCACTCCTGGCACTGCTGGTCAGGAAGTATTCGTACCCAAGGTACAGAGGCTGCATCCACCCAGGACACACACTAGTCCAATGGAAGGACGTGCCTTCAGGGTGGATGATCCCATGAGTGAGGACAGACGCAGACACTGCTACCCAGTCCACTGGCATTCTAAGTATCCCAGCATCCATTAGGAAAAGCATTAGAAGACCTTCGGCCATCCCCCAAGAAAGGCAGCGACCCTTGGGAAGCAGAGCAGCAAGAGGGAGTGTCACTTAGGCAGTGCAAACCAGGGCCACTTCTGCAGCTGCACAAGGCTCCCTCCTGGCCTGTCAGGTGGATGTGTATCCATATACACTAATGAACCTCTGTGCCGCCGCCTTTCACATACGTACCCTGGTGGGGAGGCTAGGGGTGCCAGTTAACCTGTAAGTTATGGGATACTTGCTAGCCAATGTGACAAAACTGTGACTGTCACCAGGAAATAGGGCTGTTAAGGCACTACCACTGGGAGGACCTAGGGGCCTCCTCCTTCATAGGGAAGAAGGTTGCACTTATCCGGGAGAGCAGGATGCTGGGGTAGGGACCTGCCACTCACATCTGTTCCTCAGCAGCTGCTCCCAGGGTCCTCACTCCTTGCCTCACTTTCCTCTACCACCAGGCAGCATCCTACCCAAAGATCAAAGGGCAGGGCCCAGCTCTGCAGCCTTCCCTGTACTTCCAGATCCCCCTAGCCCCACTTCTGTCCCTTCTCTCTGGGTTATGCTGGCTTCTCTCTGGAGTTTTGTGTTCCCCCAGGACCCAGGTGAATAGGGAGGGGGGTCTCCTCACTGCCAGGCCCCAATTGTCTGGGCATGGGACATGGGCATGGTAAGGTCCTGGATGGCACTGGCATGGGGGACCCAGCCTGGATGAATTTAGATGCCAGATGAACTGAGCCAGCAGCTTGAGCAGCCCTGGGACTTGTTACCCACTCCTATTCTTGCCAACAGGCCACCTCAGAGAAACCTCATGCCTTCTCCAGGTCTATGTGCTCCCTCTGGGTGATGGGACCAGGGCTGTCAGACAAGAGGAGCCCAGAGGGCTACAGGATACGGGCACAACTGGGCAGCTGGCAGTCATGGCTGCAGGCTCAGGACCCCCGCTGCCCGCTGGCCTCAGTAGCTACACCCACACTCCACATCCCACAGCATCACCTTGCCACCTACCTCCTGACAAAGGAGACTCAGGGACACAGCCCAGTCCACCAGGGACACGGCTAGCACCGTGAGGTAGGCCAGCAGCCAGAGGTTCTTCTGGAACTGGGACCATCCAACCAGGTAACCCTGCAGGACATGGGGACAAGAGAAACAGCACACTCAGAGCCAGGCCTGAGCCAGGCAGGAGGCCTCAGTGCCCACGAGAAGACCTAGGGGGGAAGGTCTCCCCACAGTGGAGTCTCTGTGACCATCAGGGAGCAGGATGCTGAGCAGCAGCCAGAGGCCATGAGGATGCCCTGAAGCCTCAGGCAGACACTCAGCCGCTCTGGCCCGTTTCCTTATCAGTGGCAGGATTTCCACCACTGGCTCAGCCTATGCTAGCCACCAGCACGTACAGTGTCAGAGGGAGGCACAGGCATTCCAGAATGGATGAGGACAGGAGGCAGCACTCCTGAAAGGAAAAAGTGCTCCCGCCACTCCAGGAAGGTGGCGGGGGAAGCAGCTTCTCTCTGTTCCTCCTTCTCCTAACCACTTCCTACCATTAGGACAGCCCCCAAAGGTCACAGCCTGCACCTAAAGGCATGCGCTCTCCCACAACAAGATCCTTAAACACACTGATCATTCAGCAAACACTAATGACAACTCACCAGTTTCGGTTCCAGTTTCAAAACCCACACACCTGCTAGCCCAGTATGAGCTAACGTAGGGAAAACTGAGAAACTGCCTCGGCCTACAATCTCTCTCTCTCACACAAGTACGCGTGTGTGTGCACACACACACACACACATGTGCACCTGCCAGGGCCCAGCAGCACACAAGCACCCTGCCCACACTACAGACTTCGGGGATCTAGAAGCCACATGAGCCCACAGCCCAGGTGGAAGAGTACAGGGCCACCACTGATGGCGCCACCTAACACTGGACACAGATGCCCCTGGGGTCTACGGTGTTAGAATCACTCACAAAAACAGACTGTGCAGTCCCAGAAAGACCCAGCCCCTCTGCACCCCACTGCGAAGTCACCAAGGCCCCACAGTGATGCAGCCCACAGCTCCTATGAGCTGACAACCCCACACCCAGCTCCTGGCAGGATCCAGTCACAGACAGAAGTGAGAGTCAGATGCCCCTGAGTTGCTGTCTAGGCAAGAGAACCCCTTCTGCCTCATACCTGACGCCTCTCCTCTTTGAGGATGGCGGGGTGGGCCAGGAGGAAAGCTCATGGGTCCTCTCATACAGCTGGGGGATCTCCCCTCATAAAAGCTAGTCCCTCGCCAGCCCCAGAGACCCTCCAGGCCACCCAGCCCCAGCAGCTCAGCCAGCCCCTGCTCCCACCCCGGGGGGAGAACAGCCAGCATCTTTGCTCCTGCACCCAGATGTACCCAAGAACCCAGTCTCTGCCAGAGGACCAAGGGACAGAAACAAGAGGAGAAATGAACTAGGCGAGAAACAGTGTGCGACAGAAAGGCTGAGGTAGCTGCAGCCACACGGGGAGCGCCTGGCCCCCAGGCTCAGGCACCACCCACCGCCTGCCTCACCTTCACGGAGACGTCGGCCACAAAGACCAGCAGGCAGAGTAGCTCCACGGCCTCTGTCAGGCCACAGGGTGGCTCCCAGGGTGGGGAGCGGTAACGCACATCTGCAGTCCTTGTGAGTGAGGACGGGGTCTCAATAAAAGCCAAAAACAGGATCAAAAAGATAGTAAAGCTCAGAGTCCTGGAAAGAAAACAAACCTGGTCAAAGGGCAAGAAACAGCTGCCCTCTAGGATAGGGACACCAACCGGTAAGTGAACACATACAGGCCACTACAGCCTGCCCAGGTGATTCTCATCTACCCAGACTCACAGGCCCGGGGCTGACCCAGTGCTCTGAGAAGGCCCTAAGGGTAAGGAGCCCCTAACCACAGGCTGTGCTCACGGGCTGGGCATCACCAGGTGGAGCCCACCTGGACAGAGGTGGTCCTCCCAGGCCATCCTCCCCACCACCAAGCAGGCCAGGGGCAAGCCCCACAATGTGCATTCTCACCGCTGGCACAGGTTCGAGTAATACCATCGGTAAAGCCACATGGAGCGGGCATCCATGCGGTGGTAGATGGAGCGGTACTAGAAGCAAAGAATCACACAGAGGAGCATGAACAGGCTCTCCCTGGTGCTGCGCATGCCTACACCCTGACCTGTTCCCACACTGGGTGGGCACTATCTCCCACAGAGATGGGCCCCATTGGGAAGATGGACCATAGATGGCAGGGTCAGTGTCAACAAGTGGACAAGACATATCCCACCCCACAACCCTGCAGGCTGAGCCCATCACACAGTATGTTGTTTACCCAACAGAACGAGTGCTCCCCGAAAGCCAGACCTGGGGCCCAGCAGGAACACTGCAGGAATGCTTGGCAGTGTCTGTAGGCAACATAGTTGTGCTGCTGTGAGACTCTCTTTTCCATGCAAGGGTCGCCCCTCACCCCCAGCACAACTGTGTTATTCCTAGGACCCAGCACAGGCCACAGAATAGACTAAATCAACAATGCAATGATTCTAGTACTCAGAAGACTGCATCAGGGGCCAGAGTTATAGCTCAGCAGCCCAGCACCTGCCTGGCAAGTGAGAGGTCCTGAGTTTAATTCCCAGCATCCCCCTCACCAAAAGAAGACTGCTTCCTTCAGCGTGTTAGCCCTGACCCCACCCCCATCACAGTTATCCAGACCCACAGGCCAGCAGCTGAGCTCTCTGCCCAGGACAGTAAGGGATAAAGGCTGGGAGACAGTCAGCAGAGCGGCCACCACCCAGTCCCACCCACCTGAACAGCATCTTCAATGAAGACCACAGCCTGGTTGATGCAAAGGTCCTGCCTGGCCATGGCACCTATGGGCAGAGAAGACAGGTCAGAAAGAAGAAAAGAAAGCCATGGAGCTGGCTCAGCAGTCTAAGTGCCTGCCTAGGCAAGTGCAAGGATCAGGGTTCGATCCTTGGTACCACACGCAATATTGGCCCTGTGCTGGGTGCACCGAGCCAGCCACCAAGACTAGCCATGGTGGCACACACCTGTAATCCCAGCACTGGGGAGGCTGAAACAGGAGGATCACTATGAATCCACGCTGCATAGGGAGACCCTATACCAAATACATAACATTTAAAAAAGAGAAAAAGAAACCCCCCATGCACTCCACCCCTATTGCTTCCCCCTTCCCACCACCCTCATATCACTTGTTCTGAACTTGGCCCCACCAGGGGCACACTCTCCAAATCCTTCAAGTCTTTGCCCAGGACCAAAAACACTGTCCCCCAACCTGTGGATTCGAGCACTGCCTATGGGGAACTCACCCTGCCCTGAGATCCTCACCCTGGGCTGAAATCACTGATCCACTCCCCACCACGCCTCCAGGTTGGGGGTTGTACCAGACTCACCAGGTCAGAATAAAGCATGGGGGGGGGGCATCTCCTTCCCTCAGCCTCTGCTCCCCAACATCTCGGTCTAAACTCCTTCCCCCTCTTACTCTAGGTTCCTCCCTGCACAATCTGTGTGGGGCCCTGACCTGTTCTGTGTGAACCTAAGGGAACCCCTAATTTCTCTGTGTCTCAATTCCGCACAGACCCTTCCCAGCGGGACTTATGCACTAGACGGGTTACTGAGCCATAGTGCTTTCCAAGGAAGCCCTTTATCAATGTTGCTACAGCCTCTGAATGTTTTTACAGTCCTGCCATCCTTGCCTTCTGGACTCCTTCACAGACAAAAGAATGATTCTTGGACCCAGAAAGAAAAAACCCTCTCATTCTTGGGGCAGAGTCAGACACCTGAAGCAGTAGCACCCTCCTTCAGGAGTCCAACCACAGAACACAGGGTCCATCTCGGAGACAAAGGCACAGGGGCAGAAGCTGAAAGAGCCTCTCCCACCCTTCAAGCCTAGCCAAGGAGATGCGAACACAGGGCATCCTGTCCATGCTCTCAGCTGCCCTTGCCAAGGCCATGACACCGAAACAAGGAATCCTCCTAGATAGCCCCTCTTACCACTCACACTGCCCACACTGGCGCCTATCTCAACAGACCAGGTGGCACCTGCCAGATGCCCACTCTGCTGGCACCTGCAAGCGCCATGGCATTCTTACGCTGACCTAATAATCTCTGAAGCCTCATAACACACCTCTGCCAGAGCCTGTTACTGCTTCACTTTCACTGATGCTTAGATAGGTCCAGCAACCTGCCAAGGTCACACAGCCTGGAGTACCAGCCCCCGAAGGCACCCAGGCCTTCAGATACAAAGCCTGTGCCCCAGAACCATAGCTTTATTCGTCTTGACCTCTTGAGGCCTGCAAGAAGACCTAGCCCAGGCCACAAGGGGTCTAGACCCAGGAATCAAGTGAAATACCTCCCTGGGGTTGGTAGCCTACAGATTGTCTATCAGGGACCACACACACACACACACACACACACACCACTCCCTACAAATGGATCAGATCTGGTCACTGTTCTGATCCAGTTGTCTCTGGGATAGAGAAAAAAAGTGAGGTCCAGAGAGGGAAGTGGCAAGCATGAATTCAGCGCAGTACTAGCAGTGGCCACACCAGAAGCCAGGACCGTGATCTTGGGCTCAACTCCTAGTCTCTCTAAATCTCGGGGTCTTCTTCTGTAAAATGAAGCAAAGTCCTTCCACCTCTGACCGAGCACCTAATTCCTTGGAGTCAACCGGAGACAGACTCCACCCTCCCTGGACTCAGCAAACTTACTGACCATAAACAGGAAGGGCAGGAAAGAGCTGGGAAGAGAAGGCCGCTAGCAGCTGCAAGACTAAGGGGAGGAAGCTGCTCTAGTCCTCCCTGTCACCCCCGGGGGGGGGGGGGCGGGGGGCAAAAAGAATGCTACCAGGGCTGACAAGTCACTCCCACTTAGGTGGCCCTGGGTAGAGGAACACCTCTCTCTCTCTCTCAGCCTCAGTTCCTCCACTAAGAAACAAGAAAAGTGTAAAGCGGCCCTTGCTAGGTAGGAGTCATTAAAGCGAACGGAGAAAGTCCGGTTCTCCCGCCACACGAAAGAAGTGTGGGAGCTGTCGGGCTGGACTCCCCCGCGCTGCTCGAGGTCTTCTTCGCCGGGCTCCACGCGGGCAGGACGCGACCTCGGGGCAGGACCGCAGCTCCCTGCGCTCAGATCCGCGGGGACTCCGGCGGGACGGCGACGCGGGCGCTGGGACGGCGGGACCCTCGCCAGCCCGGACCCTCCCCCAGCCCAGGCTGCTCACCGGGGCCGACTTGGATGCTACTGAAAGCGGACAACCCCGACGGCGGGGAGTCGCGGCCGCGGCCCCCGTGGGCCCGGCCCAGAAGAGGTTCCGACTCAGCCTGAAGCTCCGCCATCCGAACGCCGGCGCTACAAGCGACCCGCGAGTATCCGGCTCCACCGCGCAGGCGCGCGGCTGGCCCGGGAGGCGGAGCGACCACACCACCACGCAAGGGATGGGCTTAACTGCCGGCCAATGAGAGCGAAGGGTTCGTGCGTGGGGCGGGGCTCAGCTTCCTTGGCTCTAGGGAGCGCCTTTTTGCACCAGCCAAGGGGCAGGGGAACCCTCATCACATGGTGGACCTGCGCTTGGGGCCTCAGATACCTATTGAATCTGAAGCTCTGAGGTCCTCTGTTTTCATTGGGGGGTTTTGTGGATTTCTTTTTTTGAGACAGGGTCTCTCTGTATCTCAGACTGGCCGGGAACTCACCAAGTAGCCCAGGCTGACCTCAAACTCAGTGATTCCCCCTGTCTCAGCCTCCTAAGTGCTGGGATTACAGGCGTGCGTCACCATGCCCAGTTTTAACCTGCTTTCTGGGTGATGCAGTTGCATCTAAGTGTTGAGCACATGGCTCCAAAATGGAACTGGAGTTTACCTTCTGATAATAAAATCAGGGACACTACATACAGCGCTCCCTCACTTACAGCAGAGGTCACGTTCCAGACACTCCACGATAAGTGAAAATCAGCAAAGTGGTGACGTTATATTTCTTTTAGTACTTATATGTATTTAAGGCTTTATAAACCCTTCCCACACTCTCATAAACCTTTCCTGCACTTTTAAAAACACTTCTAATGTTCCTAACCATTTTGTAAACTCGTAAACCTACGTAATTTTAGCAACATACGTGTACTGTACGGTACTGAAAAATGCCGCGATACGGCGAAAAATCAGCAATAATTTAGATTAATGTTTTTACACTCATATAAATGTTTTCAACGTTAATAAAAAGAGGTGGTGATGGTTTTCTACTGCTGCAATGACAATGTCCACCAACAGCACAGAACAGTATACACACTAAGTTTGGGACAATGTTCTTGAAGTATCCCATGCTGTGCACCTTAACACCGTTATGTTAAGTGAAAAGAATAAGATGGCAAAGCTTAAATAGCCCATGGTTTCTCTTACGTGACAAACCCCAAATATAAAGAGCAAAATAAAAAATGGATCATAGGAAGTAGGGAGATCTTTTCCCAGTGGGAAGGGGAATGAGAGATGGAGGGGAGGGGAAAGGGTAGGGGATGAAAAAGAATTAGGATGTGTTATGCACATGGACTAACTCCCCACAATGAATGCAATCACTGCGTATTGCAAACTGTGCTAGTAAAATAAATTAAAATAAAATAGCACCGAGTTAACTCCCATCTGCTGTTAGTCCTGAAGGTCAGAAGTCCAGCAGCTCAATTCAGGGTGGCCACTTTGGGCTCTTATGTAGTGTCAAGAAAATCCACTTCCAGGCTCCTCCCATGCTAGCAGAATTGGTTTCTGTGGGGCTGGAACTGAGATGCGCATCTTCTTGCTGGACGTAGGTCAGGCTTGTTCTCAGGGGTCCCCTCCATCATCGCAGGCAGCAGGAACAGACTGAATGTTTTGTCTTCTTCAAGTGGGATGCTTCAAGGTGTGGCCATATGCAATGATTCCCTGGCTTCCCTTTCTGCCTAATCTCTGGGTCTTTTCCTTTTGTTGGGGGTGGGAAAATTGAAACAGAATATTTATCATCTTAACCTTTGTACGTATGTGTGGTAGTGAGGATGAGCCTAGGGCCTCCACATTGAGCAACACCCTCAGGTCTTTTTTAATGTTTTGAGACAGGATTTTTGTTAAATCATTAAATTGCCCAAATTAGGCCCAAACTTGCAATCCTCCTGCCTCAGCCTGCCAGAGTGATGATTTTAAGTGTGTCATACAGGAGTGTTATGCAACTGACACCATCCTCTGTCTCCAAAACACTTTCCTCTTGAAAAACCAAATATGTACTCTTCTCAAAATTACTATTTAGCTTTACTATGCAGCTTAAACTGTCCTTGAACTCACTATATAACCCAGGCTGATCTCAAATTTACTATGCCGTGCTGGGATTACAGACCTGGCTTGATTTAATGATCTTAATTGATTTGTTTTTTTTTTTTTTTCAATTCTGGAATCAGGCAACACTGCATTTCTAAAATATTCCCAATACCTGTTCCAGTGAACAGAATAGAAGAGATTGGGTTGATACAATACAGAAAAGATCTGAAGAAAGAAGAAACAAAAAGGAGATAGGTCACTTCAAAGTCACTTTCTTTGTATGAAGAGGGCAGGGAGAGAGAACAGTAGGAAAAATAACTGGTTAGTAACATCAGGTCACTTTACTTGTGTTTTTGGAGAAAAGAGAAGGTAGAGACACCTTCATTGTTTACACATTGCAACTGACCAGTCTGGGAGATTTGGCAATTGTCCGTAATCCTGATTTCCCCCCAAAATTCAGATAAACGTCTTAGTTTCAGGTTGGTGAAGTGAACTTTAGAGTGATCCGTGGGGGTCCAGCACAGGGCCTTAGTCCAAAGAAATGAGCACTTTTATTTAACCCTATTGTTGTGGTTTCTGTCTAGTTGTCCCCCCAAAGCCTCATGCAGTCATTGAGGCAGCTTCTAGAGTTTGTGATTAACTCAGGATCCAATGCTGGGATTATGGTGGAAGTGCTATTCTTGCCCTGGGGCGGTTAATCTGCATACAGTACAAAGAAGGGAGAGAGGCCTGCTAGCTGCTTCAGCTGCTGCTCCTCCTTCGCTCTTTGCTGTTTTCCGCTGCCATGAACTGCTGCCCTCTGTACCGTGTGGCACTCACTCTGCCTTGGAACCAGCCGAGCATGGACTGAAACCTCCACTAACTGAGAGCTAAATAAACCTTTTCTTTCTTAACTTTGGCTGTCAGGTATTTTGTCCCAGGATTGAGAGAAAAGTAAACAAAACAACCATGGAATACTAATTTTCAAATTCCCCCTCCTCACAGCCCCTGGCAACCCCCATTCCACTTTCTATCTCTGGGATTTTTTTGACTACACATTGCAGGCACCTCCCTTAAGTGCGTACACCATTTTTTCCTTCTATGACTGCTTCTTTCCTTGAACATCCTGTCCCTTGGGTTCATCCTTCTTGGAGTAGCACAACTTCCTTCCCTTATTTTGGAGACTCAATAATATTTCACTTTGCTTATGTATTCATCCACCACCGAGCAGCTTCTGTCTTCTGCCTATAGTGAATAATGCTGCTGTGAACGTAAATGTACGCACGTCCTTTCGAGACCTTGCTCTCAATCTTGAGGGCCATGGACCCAGGAGCGTGTGAAGTTCTCTGAGGAGGTTGCATCTGAACCCGCTCCACGCTGCTTGGCCCTGGTTGTGAACATCAGCATTGTGGCAAGATGGAATGTGGCACATCAGGAACCAGCACTATGCTGGGCTATGTCCACTCTGTATCTGACCAAACACTCTGTGACTAATAAATAAACTTCTTGGAATGTATCACCAAACTGAGCTGACCTCTAGCCTCCCCCGAGCTTAAGGCTAAGAACGCCCTACGATAACAGCTGAGCCCTGCGGAAAGTGTTTCCCCATCTTGCATGACCCACAGCCTGATGCCCTCACCCATGTGACTGGGAAACTTTGTGACTTATGCCTCTTTCTTGTTCTGTGACTCTAAAGTTCACATACCTCTTCCAGGGTGGAACATGTCCTTGGGGGTAACAGGTCACTCAGAGTGGGCTCAGAATACGCTATGTTCTATTTCCTTTAAAACTGAGTTGGTATTTTACATTGACAAGTGGAATTGCTGGATCATATGGGAATTATATTTTAATTTTGGGGGGCCATTATACTGTTTCCCACAGTGGGTATACATTCCATGTCCCCAATGGTGCACACAGTTTGGACACCTCCCCACTCTCACTGACGCTTGCCATTTCCTGGTGGGTTGAGGACAGCTATTGTAATGGGTTTTGGAGCTCACTGTGGCTTTGATTTGCATTTCCTTATGATTAGTGAATTGCCATTGCCTGTTAATATGTCGTCTCTGGAAAAACATCTATTCAACTCTTTTGCCCATTTCTGAATCAGGTTTTAAGGTTTTTATTATTATTTTGTTCTTTATTCTGTTTTTAGAGCTTTAGTTCTGTATTCAGTGCAAAAATTCTTTATCAGGGACCAGTGAGATAGCTCAGCGAACTAAAGCAGCTGCTTAGGCAAGCTTTGGCAAGCACAGGGACTGTGATTTGATTCCCTACACCACATGCCATGCCACATGCCCCCATCCCACCCCCAGAGCAGGCTGAGCTGGCCACAGAGTCTGGGCATGGTGGCACGTGCCTGTAAGCCCACCACTGTGAAGACTGAAAGCAGGAGGATCACCATGAGCCCGAGCTGCATAGTGAAACCCTGCCACAACCAAATACATTTAAAAAAAAAAAAAAAAAAACTTTATCGGATATGATTTGGAAACACTTATGTGGGTTACCTTTTCACTGTATAGTGTTTTGGGGAACTTGGCAATTTGTTTTGTTTTGAAAGTTTGCCTATGAAGTTCAAACTGGCCTTGAACTTTGTAGCTGCACCCAAACTCATGGTGATCCCCTGCCTAAGCCCCCAAGTGCTGGCATTAAAGGTATGCTCACCGCGCCCAGCTCCCATTGACTTCTGATGTGGGTTTGGTTTGGTTCAGTTTGGTTTGGTTTGGTTTTGTGTTTGTGGTGCTGGGGATGAAACCCAGGGCTTTGTGCATGCGAAGCAAGAATTCTACCACTGAGCCACAACCACAGCCCTTGATGAGTAAATTCTATCATTGTCGTTAAGGCCAGAGGGTCTTTTGCTCCTCGTGCCTTTGGTGTCATAGCCAGAAAAATCATCGTCAAATCTGCTGTCAGGGAGCTTTTGCCCCAACATCTTCCCAAGATCGCTTTGCTTTTAGGGGTTTCTTGTGATTGTACAGAGTCCACTGGCTAATCCAGGACAATCTCCCTATTTTAAGAACAGCTGATTAGTAACTTTCTTTCTGTAAACTTCTTTGCCATCTAACCTAAACAAACAGGGGTACAATACCAGTGGTTGAAGGTCAGCAAGGAAAA